ATGGAGTTTACAAGCGGCCTATTTTGAGGGGGATCAACACAACTGTGACCAGTCGGCATTATGGCTCCATATCTATATTTGGAACAGGAAGTCACATATCAACAGGGTAGCATGCAACATAGTGTAGATGGCATTATGTTGAGATTGTGAAATGTTCTGCACCGACCGGGATAATGAAGATGGACAGCGGCACTGCGGCCTATTCTTATATCGAATTCCAACTGGCAGGGGTTCTTTTACGCGCTTGCCAATGTGGGACCTCGGTTTTTCCTAACATCCGAACGACTAACCAGGTCCTCCGTCCTAAAACACTGACAACCGGGAGACATTCTCGATAAACGCTGGGATTGAACACGGACCCCCTGGTTAACAAGCCAACGTCTTAGTCACTGAGCCATCGTGAGTCCTGTTGAGATCGTGAGCCGTGCTTACCACACATAATATATATATTCTTAGAATAATATATTTCCATGACAATGGATTATAAATAATATTAGGTAACGTACAACAAAAGGTTAAAAGTATATAATACATAACATGACATTAATTTACCTAGTTTTCTCCGTACAGTTTGGCAATAGCCAATGCAAGAACATTGAGATGAAATAAATGTTGATAGACCATTTATGTAATTTCAAGCTTCTAGTAATGGAACTTTTTGTACTTTCAAGTGTCATAGCCCACTTTGTAAATGTTGCCACCATATGATTATTAATACTAAATTCACTTTTTCTAATACTAATTATACGTTTAGAATCAATGATAATATGAATTGTAGTACTATAAATTTAATTTATGTTCTTGTGTTCAACCAATGTAAAAAGAATTACATAGGGGAATGCGGAATTGACCTACGCGTACGCATCAGAGTACATAGGCCACATTGTATACAAACTAATCCAGGGGCCTGTTTCAAGAAATTTTAACTAAGATAAAATTCAAATTTTAGTAATTTGATTGGATAATATTAGATTGATTTTAGTGCTTAGCCAATCAAAATTGAAGTATCTTCTAAAATTTTGATTTAATTTTTAGTTAAGATTTCGAGAAACAGGACCCTGTTTTGAAAGTCTCTAAACATTTAAATACGTGTGCTAAGAATTTAAATAATATTAAATTTTAGTATTTTTCCTTTAGAGAAGGAATATTGAAACATACTTTATTGACCGGTTCTTACAAGACTTAAATGCTTAATTTGCCTCCTTCCCACTGTGTTAATATTCTAATAATATTTAACTAAATCTTAATATATAGAGAATCTCCTACGAGTCTTTTTTTGATATCAAAAAATATCAACACAAGTCGATAAAGTAAAAAAAGAGATTTTATTTATCATCCAATCCTTTCTTAAATGCACAAAAAAAAAATATAATTATTTGCTATAGATTTCACTTTTACTGAACCTGATTACAATACGGCGTAGTGATACATCATTTTTTGACAGCAATTCAACCATGCAAAGACCTTTATATTGATTGACCCAGTGTTTCCTTCAAGGTCAATTAAATAAAAATAGTTCAGTTTTATTAAAAAAAAGAAGTTATTTTCAATAAAAAATGAACTGTTCTTTGAAAATAAAAAAGTAGCTCCTTTTTAACTGACCAATCAAATCATGTAAAGCGATATCTCCTAAGGAGATATCGCAGTAGATTATGAAATTTATCACACGAGCGATATCTACTGTAGAAGGTATTATTGGGTGATAAATATTTACACTTTTTACTTGGATACTGTATAAGGAGATATTATAGTCAGATTACATAATTTATCTATGGACCTTTATTTCATCTAATTACTCCTGTATTGTACTATTGTCAAACTATACCAGGAAGATAAATTAATACCATGTTATGTATTATATACTTTTAACCTTTTGTTGTAAGTTACCTAATAGTATTTATAATCCATTGTCATGGAAATATATTATTCTAAGAATGTATATATATATATATATATATATATATTAATATCTGACTATAGGGCAGACAGCTAGCTTATATGATTTAATGTAGGACAGAATGGAGTAAAGTGGAGAAGTTTTTACCTGGATGTATCTTTTATTTATTTATGCATTTATCTACCGTAAATAAAGAAGTACTTGTACTTTATGCCTGCGATATTTAGCGGATTGGGATACATTTTTTGAGAAATAATTAAACCCAAAAATAGATAATCGAGACTTTGTCGTTTATCGTACCGACTTTAGTAATGATGATCGAGGCTAGCCTAAAATTCAAAAGCTAATATATCGGTTGAGGGTGGAGCAATGTGACTGAAATTTTCAGCATATTCTATTTACGTTATCTATTTTCTTTTTAACTATTATAGTGAGAACTGTCAACTCCTTATCTAATCTCCCATAATGCCCCTTTAAGGTAAAGCTGACACAGCACAGACAGATATAATTTGTTACAAGGAAACTTGCATAAAAATTACAGTATATTCTAATTCTAACTCTTAAAGAACCATTACCGCCGGCTTTACGTGATAATTCCTGTTATTTTCGCACCCAAATCATCTATCATTTAATATTTATTCCTCGTTGTCTGGGGCACCACAGGAATATAATTCGTGCATAATCATAAGATGTCGATAGATCAAGTCGGGTTGCATTAAAACTTCTCTGATTGCCACTCACGCTTGAAAATGCAAGAGAGAGAGAGAAAAAGAGAGAGAGAGAGAGAGAGAGAGAGAGAGAGGGGTGTTAACACCCCCTCTTCTAATAGTAGTATTGTGTTGATGGTAGGTAAGAACAAGAGATATCCAGTTACTGATACATATAATTCCTCGACGTTAGCTGGACTTTATTTCCAGGTTTTTCGACCTGCTGCCAGACAATACGTCGAGTCGTATAATTCCATGTTTTATAATTGCTGTAGTAATACCGGACGTCTTTGTTGTGTTTCCTTCGTGATCGTAAATATAACAACTTTATTGTTAAAACCGCTCTGCATCAGTGTTCCTCGTTCTCAATGACAGCTTTTTATGGCTGTCCTGAACGTCTTGGTGAGCTCTTTATTTCCAGGTATTTCGACCTGCTGCCAGACAATACGTCGAGTCGTATAATTCCATGTTTTATAATTGCTGTAGTAATACCGGTCGTCTTTGTTGTGTTTCCTTCGTGATCGTAAATATAACAACTTTATTATTAAAACCGCTCTGCATCAGTGTTCCTCGTTCTCAATGACAGCTTTTGATGGCTGTCCTGAACGTCTTGGTGAGCTCTTTCAAATCTACCTGGTTGTCTAAAAGCGCTGTTGTTGTTCTTAGTGTTTAACGCCCGATTCCATCGAATGTGATATCGCAGACAAGTTGTCTTTTTATTTTCATTATCTTAGCGCACGCGCAAGGGTCTTTCCTGTGGGAGGAAACCGGAGTACCCGGAGTAACCCCACGAGGTTGAGAAGGCGCCCCTATCTCCAAGCCACATACGCCCACACCCGGGATCGAAAGCACAACCGCAAGCCAGAGGTGGCCGGCCAGCTAGAGGTCGAAGCGTGACACTCTAGACCACTAGGCCCCCCTCCCCCTCTCCCCTAAAATCGCGCATGTCTCGAATGTTTTTATATGCCTTAACGTCTACTATCTATTATTTAATTGGTCAAATATTACGTAATTAATTATGATTATTAGTTACTATGCCGAATGACCACGTGACTAAGCCAATATAGAATGGAATATTCCTCACATGAGTGTAATAGACAATAGAATTTATCCTTGGTCTTAGACCTTAATGTCCTGTTATTGTCACAATATTTCATAAACAATTTAATTTGCGTTTTATAATAAACTCATACCATAGCTAATAATACTGACAATGGAGAATAATTAGGCAAAGCCATAATATTATTATACATATGTGTTCTTTTGTACAAATCCCGCCATCCATGTTACCACAACGCACCGACACATAAAATATGTTAAACTTTAACACCCAGTTCACACACACGGGGTCATAATCCGAGACTAACATAATTATTTCTATTTCAATAATACATTTGTACGCACCAGAATATCTCAAGAAATCCCGGTATAGGCTTGGATAGAAATCATGCCGTGTGATCCACACCACGCTCCGAGGCCCTTTGCCCCCACCGCAAATTACAATAGATTTAAAAAATAGTATGTTGGCGTGCAGTTACGGTATTGCCAATGGGTGGTTTGTGGTATTTTGTTTTGAAAGTCTGATATATGTTTTGGGGTCGAGATATACGTCAATTAAATAATCAGTGAAGCCTGTGGAGTATCACACCACGCAGGACAGCTAGAAAACCGCAAGATCAACACAGCCTTTCCAGCAATAAAGTCTGATTAAAACTAATTTGTGTTTATACCATAGTTTGGGCGCCCCTCTTTGGGTAGTTCAGTCTGTAGCGCATAGCTAGGGAGAACGGAAAGCGAGGGATGTACATTTAATCTACTGCTTTGGATATTTTTCTATAGGGACAGCAGAAGGATACAAGGCGACTGACTGACACCGCGTAATGTTTAGTTGTTAGTTGTTTAGTTGTTGCGGGTGGGCTGGGGACATTCCAGACTCCACAAACTCTACCCACGCCACTGCATGGGAAGGCTTTGATCAATCTGATTAAAACGGAGATCCTATTTCGTTTCGTTTTTTAAAGTTCAAACTTTCGTTTTACTTGTCTTTACTACACTAGGATCTGGAAGAGTTCTTGTCATTGACCAGTTCTGGATTATGTGAGGGATTAGCCAATGAAGCAGTCTGTTACGGTGATCATTTGGCGTGAGGTGCACGGAACTGTGGGTAAACAACATCAATGCTGATTGGTTAATCAAATGTCTGACGTCATAGAGTCAAAAGCCACTCGTATGACCTCTGAAGCGACCTCCCAAAACAACTGGTCAGATCTTCATGTAGTGTAGGCCATCGAAAGTATAAAAAAAAACGAAACGAAATATAGATCTGTAGTTTAATCAGATTGTGCTTTGATGTTCCTTGTACCAAACACCATCAATCAAAAATAGACAATACTTACGAGAATGATCAAATAACGCTATAAAACACCAATAGGAAGTAGTCACGACAACCGCCGAGTTACAACTGATGTTGACCAATATCCATTGCAACTTTAATAATATAGGTAGCGATCTCGGATACTGATAATCTGAAAAATATAAATATAGAGTTCATGTTTAGTAATTACAATCCCTGATATGAGCGTATGTGGTTTGGCGATAGGGGTGGCTTCTCAACATCGTGTGTTTACTCCGGGTACTCCGGTTTCCTCCCCGAAGGAAATACCTCTGCGCGTGCGCTCAGCATAATAAAATAAGAAAACTTGTCTGCGATATCACCATGAGTGGAAGCAGACGTTAAACATCAATAGAAGAAGAAGTTCAGTGAGCCAGGGACATTTTACGCTGATCCCATCGTTCCAGTGCGGCAGTGAGTAAAATAATAAGTCTTATGAACAAATTTGTAGTACACATAAAAGTAAATAACTTATATTTAAAATGAAATGAAATAAGCTGAAAACAGGAGCTATAACCTTAACACGTGATGTCCATGATATTGGGTCATTCTGTACTAGACACCAGTAATGTCATTTTCGTTATTAGGTTTACAGAGAGTTGAAAACTGTAAAATAAATAGGTTTGTCATGGAATCACATAGTCTATTTTCTTCACGTATTTATCTATTTCTAATTTCCGTTTAAAGTTTGGTCACTAGTTTAACCTTCAAGGGGAGGTTAACACATCTACTTGGATTCCATTTCAGACGAAACGTCCACATGGGGTAAATCAAACGAACACTGCAGTGAAAGGGTTATTAATAGTCTTTCTTCCCTTTTCAGTTTTTTGTATGGAGATTTTTGTTGACATATTGGTGTAGAATCGAAGAAGAGGGTTTGAATATACAATTTCTGCCAGGTTTGGGTGAATGTTCATGATTTTGAGGCTACGAGATATGAGAGGTTGTTTATGTTAAAATGTAGGGCCAATAGTTGCATGTTTTTGTGTATGATACTTCCAGTTTGTGTATCTCAAGATTTTCATAGTGAATCTTATACCTGCTTTTGAGCGAGAAGTTGCAACGTGTTGCTTCATCTGTGGTAGAAAGTGTTCAACCCAACGCGTGTGAAACAGTTAGAGCCGGTCAAAGAGACGAGAATTAACATTGGAGTCAATGGGGAAATTAATGATGTACTCAAAGACTATGCAGTTGTATCATCCAGTGTTTCCTAGTCCATCATGCTCTAATGATTCCTTTCCCTAAATCTTGTTTAATGGTCCACGACATTAAAGCGATCTGCAGCGAGTCCGCAGGGGAATCCGTGAAAAAGAAAAGATAGCCAGATAGTCAAGTAAATTTTGTCTGAATTTGTACATATTCGGATAATGTACTTTTTCAATCATATATAAAACTTCTGAGTAAAGCAGAAACACTTGGCTGTAATATAGACAATAAGTCAATAGCCACTTTAAAATATTGACTATTCCTTCAGAAGACAATGAGATATTTATGGACAGACAATACAGAAAACATTATTTTATTTGTTAAAATTGTCTGATTTCTAACACTTCACGCCATATCTGTCTGATGATTGAAAGCAATGTTTGACACTTGTTTTACCATATCAAAGACAAGAAGCTTTAATAGGAATTCTAGGCTATTAGCCTCAATGGTTTCTACTGAAGACTTTATTTGCCGTATTAGTAATACTTCGTCTGGGGACGGCTTAAACGTATTTATTTATTTTATCCCGACATTGTTAGCTAGATAGACGAACATGTAGTATGGACAGGTTATAACCACAACTATTGATCACAGAAGGGCGGATCGCGATTTTTATGCTTCCGGGATACGGACTAATTCTCAAATAATGGACGCCGAGCGAAGCGATGAGAACATTGTTAGTGTGTTAGCTAGAAGATACAAGAGAGAGATAGAGAGAGAGAGAGATAGAGAAAGAGAGAGAGAGAGAGAGGCAGACAAACAGAGAGAGAGAGAGAGTGAGAGAGAGAGAGAGGGAGATTTTGGGACTAGTATATGGTTCCATTTTATTCCATTAATTTGCTTGCGCGTAGGGATCTTTAGTTGTAGGATGAAACCACAGGACTCGGAGAAGCTCCACGAGGTCAAACAGGCGACCCTTCTCCTTGTTACGTACTAGCGGGGAATTAAAACCACGCCACTTGACTCTATGACAGATCTTGTGATCTAACGCGCATGCGTATTCGGCCACCTACCCCCCTTGCTACACAAACGAACATAGTGTGGACAGGCTATACCACGGTTATTGATCACACGAGGGCGAATCAAGGTTTTCTTTTTTCGGGTATACAGACTCATTATAAAATGGCACATGTATTGCACACCTAGCGAAGATGCGAGATCATTGTTAGTTACACAATCGAACACGTAGTGTGGACAGATTAGAACACCACAACTATTGATCACAGAAGGGCGGAATAAGATTTTTATACGCCCACATTTTCATGGATTATGGCCCCTGATTGTACAAAAACTCACATTTTTAGCCTCATAATTTTGATGAAACTGAAATGTAAATTTATATCCCAAAGATCTTGGTTCCTTTTGGTATTGTCGAATGTCTTTTAGATCTGTCAGTGAGTGAAGTGGCGTGGTTTCGATCCCATGTTTGTACGTGACAAATAGTTGGGTCGACTGTCCAACCCCATGGGTTTTCTCAACAGCGAAATCCCCCTGCGCTAGGGAATAATAATTATTGAAATGAAATTGTACCATATGTTAGTCCTATAATGACGTGGTTTGTGTCGAGTGGACGTTACCCTACCCCCCTCTCTCTGTGACTCTGTTTTATGTAGGTTGTAATCAGTTATTAGGTAGCTTGTAATTTAAACTTTCATGGATTATAATTATAAATATGCAACAGATAAGATGAGTGTGTTTGTGTGTGCTTGATGTGGAGACTGTGGTGGTGGTGGGGTGGGGATGTGGATAAGTTCTATCCAGAATCGTTTACGATCCTACATGCTAAACGCCATAACACCCCTCTGTCACACTGCACAATGAATCACCATTCGCCAACCATTCTACTTAATTAAACCTTCATGGTGTATGAAGCAATCATGCTGAGGCTGTGGCGCTATGTATGAGATTTTCCTGGTACGAAACATGCTATTTGATGTCTATAGCAGATAACGTCCAGTATAATATTGTCTTTTACTAATAGAGATCTTGACTTTCCTGTCTCGATACCATCAACACAATTCTATAAAATAACCTGTGCGAGATCTCTGGTATTGAATGGGGTTTAAAGTCTCGTCAACAAAACATTCAGTCATTTTGAGACTAACATGTCAGTGGTTAAGTGTGCAATCTAATGTATGCTAAGAGATTTTTTCCCAGGCTATTCTTCTTTAATGCTAGGTTCCCACTGTCGTGCGATGCGTTACAACAGGGTTGTCTCTACGGAGTCCACGATCTGGTACGTGCAGATACGTTCGGATACGTTTCGATACGATCAACACGATTGCTACGATTGACCTCAATACATGTATATGCTAAGACCTGATAGGATTACCACGATTACTCCTCGATTAAAACCACGATTTCAATCGTAGAGCGAATCGTGATAGTGGGAACCTCAATGTATACATGGATGGACTTCAGTTTTGTGTCCTATCCAAACGACTAGGCACTAACCCTGACAAATTAAAATCCGGCGTGAAAACATCGGAATGGTCCGCGTCGGGATTCAACTCCGGACAAACTCGTCAAGAGACTAGTCTCTTAATGCTCGAGATGTTCCTGCAAACCTAAAAAGCTGTTAATGATTTTTTCACACAGTAAACTGAAACAATCATTGGCCCTACTGAAGCCCTAACATTCCAGAACATTGGCACAATCAGAGATACTTTTGTTAAAGAAACATTTTAGTCCAAACATTATTCAATGCACATTTAAAGTTTTCATTGATTTCGACTGATTCCACGCCGCCATCTTAAAGTAATAATAATTCTATCTATTTCGCACAAGTCAGAAATGTTTTTATACGAGCGTATTTGTATGTTCTGACTACATGATAGCAAAATAGTATACTTTTTACGAACCAGCGCAATCAGAAATACCGAACAACGTAATTACGTTGATATAATCTCAAAATCAGTTCAACTCGAACAGAAAGTTAAAAACGGACTTTACTGTACCATTTTTCATTTTTTGTCGTAAATTAAACAGAGGTCATATAGCACGCAACGAAAAAAAAAAACAAAAAAAAAAAAACCCAACGAAAATTGGCATAACCACGCATCATGACATGTTTGAAAACGTAAAAATGTTTCCGTCGTATTTCCCTTCCTTGTCTTGTTATCGATTAGAAATAAAAACAACATCTGACAAGTAAAACCAGTCACGAACTTCATCTACAGGTTTATTTTTTGAAATTTATTTGATTTGTGGTGTGTACAAGAGAATAAAACTCCGACATGTTAAAGGTACGGTTTCAGAGAGTATAATTGAAAATTGAGGCATGTTATAGGTACGGTTTCAGAGAATAAAATTGAAAATTGAGGCATGTTAAAAGTACGGTTTCAGAGAATAAAATTGAAAATTGAGGCATGTTAAAGGTACGGTTTCAGAGAATAGAACTGAGGCATGTTAAAGATACGGTTGTAATGGATAAAACTACGGCATATTAAAGATACGGGTTCTGATATTAAAACTGCGGCGTGTTAAAGCTGCTATCGCAGAGAATAAATCTGTGACATGTTAAAGATACGGTTACAAGAAATAAAACTGTGACATGTTAATGATACGGTTTCGGATAATAAAACTGCGACATGTTAATGATACGGTTTCAGAGTAAAAAAACTAATGTATGCTAAAGATATGGTTTCGGAGATAAGAACCAAGGCATGTTAAAGATACGGTTTCAGAAAACAAAACTGTGTGGATAGGCTCAGTTGGTAGGTGCTGGCTCGTAAACCTGGAGGTCCAATGCTCGATCTCGATGTTGACCGAGAAAGTTCCTCCGGAGTTTCGCCTTGTCAGTAGTGCAGGAAGGAGGGCAAGGAACAGTGGATGGGACGAAAAACCGAGGTCGCGTGTACACTTTGGCGTGCACATAGAAGAACCCTTGACAGTTCGAATTCGAAATAAGACTAGACTATAATTCCG